ACACACAGACTGTGAGTGCGGCGCGTCATTTAGGCCCGTTTGATCGCCTTCATAACCGATCTTTACGCGTCAGCTCCACGACGTTATGTCTGTTACTTTTTCGACTTTCAAGCTACGTAGTCATTGAAATTTGCCTAGCAGTTGGTCCGATCATCTGAGTTGAAATTGAAGGTGACTATGGACGCAACACATTATAACTCAGCCAACTATTCTATTCATCTGTATTTAAATCAACAAAGAGCTAAACGGTTATCTACCGAGCCTAGTTGGCCTGTGCCCTGCATCGTTGAGGAATAAAACGTTTATTTATTTATTTATTTATCGAGGTCTGTAGTGGATATGCGCAGTGGTGGAATTCATTAGTCTGGCGGTCACGAAGATCATGCAAAAAGAAAGGATTTCTACAACCAACGAGCTTGCTTGAGTCAAAAGTATGGAGGCCGGTTGGTGAACACCTCTCAATCCCAACGCGAAGCCTCCAGTACTGCAAGCACGCAACCGATGAAAACAAAAAGTGAGGTCACAGGTTGAAAATAAGTAACTGGCTGTGTTGCTAAAACTGCAAGCCCTGTAGGCATAGGACAATTATCCAAAAGCTTCTTCATCCACCCCCGGAAAAAAGCACAGGTACTGCCACGTGCATACCTGTGAGTTTCCCCAAATATTGATGCATCCAGTATTTCACTGATTCCGCTGTCGCAGACATACTTCGAAGCGCCTAGTATAACTGCCTCAAAATAACTGGATTCCGCTTACCGTTTTCAGTTACCCCCCTCTCATCCCGAATGTATTTAGGGTTGCATTGAAAATTCGATCACAGTTTGACAACCACTGGTCAGTTAAAAGTACGACCAAGTTTCCCACACGCGAATTCCGTCGAACGAATATAACCTTTAGTCTATTGGCGGAATACAGCAAAGTCGGTGTTAGAGGAACCTTCGCCTTTTGTTGTTTCAAGCAATAATGTATTCTTGCAGTTGGCCGTTCGACCCAAAGCACCATATCTCGATATGTTTTTAATCTCTCGCTTGAGGTACGCCAGACACGGCTACAAATTCTGAGGAACAAGAAAGCATGATGGCTTTCTCCATAGAAAAATAACAATGCACATTTAAGAAAGGATAAAACTAAGGTGTGTGTACAAGCGCTCACCGATTGCATGAACACTGTGCTGAGGTGGAATCAATTTGCAAACGCGTTTAAACCGTCCATCCGGTCGGGGCAACTCAGTTATCTTCTCGCGAATCACTTTGACGTGAAGCAAGCGCCGCACACCACCCGGTCTGTCGACTCTGCATTGTGTGACCAAGCGATTCCGGCGGCACTCACACACATTCTTTTCGACCACATGTGGTGCTTGATTGACACAGCTGCATCCTCTGCGAACCCAGCGGTGAAGCTGCACAGTGTTGTAATATCTTCCATCAATCTCGGGCTGGCAAGGTGTAGTAAAAAGCTTCGGTTTCGGACAATCTAGAATATGCAAAGAAAATAACTCGCTGGATTATTCCACTGGATTCGAGCTCCATCACAATTGGAGGGATAGGGATGAAATATGGTATGGGCGTCCGGACCGGTAAAACCTATGTTCTCCAAAAAGTGAGTGGATGACTCATACAATTCTGATTTGAAGTGTGATTACACAACGAAATGGGAACTACATAGGTGCAGGTACAGAGTGGAAACACGCCAACGTCGGAGTTGGGCATTGTATAGTAGACATATGTAGCGAGAATGCGCACAAGCGTCGGAAAAAAGAGTGGGGTCTCTGCAGCAAGCTGCTGTTTCTGACGGAGCAGGTACCGTAGCTTCCCGTGTGTGCACTATAGTTTAGCTCCCCTTTGTGTTGTTCTTCCTGAGAAAACAAATCCAAGAAAGTAGCACACTGACTGTGTACATGGAAGGGTGGTATTCATTTACCCTGACGGGAAACTTCTTTATCATATCGCATGGTGCACATTCACTTAAAAGAGTCATGTTACCTTACGCATGCATACATTGTGTCCACTCCGAATTGTTTCGAGGTGAAATAAAAACGATGGATGAACAAGTTGGAAAATACAAGTCAACTTTGTTACCACCGGACGGCGCTTTGAGTGCACTCCAATGTAAAACACGTTACGTGTTTTGAGCACTGTTTCCTTCATTTCATAAACCTCAAGTGGTTGAGGCGATGATGCTTAACTTCCATGCACTTAGAACAAGGATCTACCTAATTAAGTATGCATCGTAGAGTGATTGGAGTGGGGAGGGGGCCGAGAAGCAAACATTTTATAGAAAGCCATGAACCAAAAAACAATGACAATGTGTCAGCTGTACATCGTAACGGCTGTTCGCTGCAGCTTGGGCTGAATATACCGCGAGGATGCGCGCCCCTACGCGGTGACCTTATGGTTGCAAGCCAGGCGTGTAGACTACTCAGTCACCTGCCGACAAGCCGGTTCAATCTATGGACCGGTTCCTGCAGAACGATTGCAAAGCATGAGTACAATTCAAAGGACTCAAACATCCCGCTTGGAAGTAAGAGGGCTTTACGGATGAGATGGTTAGTTGAGCGTTAGAAGCTGCTAAGGTAGGGTGCACTTTTGCGGACGTAGCTGAAGGTGAACATGGTTGGCGGCATCCGGTTTCGGATTTGCCTGTCACTGTGGCCAGTCACAGGACGCCTGCGCCTACAAATGGACCATGGGTGGCTTGCGCTGCACCACCCAAAGCTCCAACCACATACCCCATATCCAGTGTAAACCCGAAGGAATAAGACCGGTAGGCATGTGGATGGGAGCCACGTTTCATCAACGGAGCCGGCCCACACTCCTTCACAGGCAAACACAAGCACGCTGTATTTGGGAATCAATCGTACACAAGACGGTGGTTGGACCGTAGTCCGCTCCACACTGTGCATGGAACCATTCTTTGATCCTAACACGGCCACAAGGACCGTGTACCCGTCCCCTTCAGCAACGACCAACTGTCTCCTAGAGCCAGTATGGACGAGGTAATGGATAACAGACAGGTAGGCAGCTTGTCAACATGCACATCAAGCGCAGTCACACTTGGGATGTCAAACAACCGCCAATCCCTTGAAATAACATCAACAAATAAAAGATATCTGTTAAATCATACGGCTATGCAGACATAACTCTTCCTTAAATTAGCATATGAAGTAAGTTGGGTAGCAATCAATCCGCGATAAGTCCAAAATGTCCAGAAGTTACTCAAAAATGCTACAAACGCAATAAAGTTAACTAAGATAACCACAGTTAGCGTAAGCAACGTGGCCCGTTTATAGATTAGTCAGGTAGGCAGAACAAACCAAATAAAGTGGAATGAAATTTATCCAGCTTAAAACACCTAGTCGAAGTGTAAGTTGGTTTAGCCCAACTTCGGTGAAGAAGCATCATGAATGCAACATCAGCTCTAGCATAGGGCACGCAAATCCACACAGCAACGCCATGCACCATGACTAACTATGTATGAGATAATGCCTACTGTTTTCTCTGCCCAGTGGATATGGCAAGATGTTCAAGATAATCCTGTGCCTTACTCGTCTACTAGGTTATTACATCTACGCATACGGCTGGATGGGTGAGTGCGTTTGGTAAGATTGACGGAGATTATGAGTACGTCTGACTTCTTCAGTTAACCTGGCACTGGTGGGGTAATCAACTAACAGGTGGCAGACGCGTGACACCTCCGTATGCCTACTGAGCAGTAAGACAGCAGCCTCTCAGGTCAAAGTATAACATGCGACGGTGAGGTGTCAAGTCGTAACTCACTGATTTTCCGCACAGTGACTAGTTTGTAATCTGGACGACAGCGGGCGTGTGCCAAATCGGGCAGCTCCACAGCAACTCCTTGCACCTTCCTGGTTCCGTCCACCTCTAGTCGCAATTGACGACTGTAAGTGACGAGCACTCCGCTGGCTCTATTGCATCGTGACTGAAGGCTGTCGGTCGGCTGAGCACATCCACATGCTTCCATTTGCATCCGTCGCTGTTGCCGGCATTCGCAAGAATGTATCTTCCACCAAAAATGCTCCACCATGCGAACCATGAGAGCAGGGTCGGGTACACTGGGCAACCCTACTGTCCGTGGAGCATGACGGCACTGATGACGCACGGATCTTGGATTCAGAGGACAAACTAAAAGAAAATCGGACGGTGAGATGAAAGTTTCGCAAGAGAACAGAACGTATTGAAGAAAAATAGTTATTGTTACGTACCAACGGGTTCGAAGTGGTGGCGCGTGCGCCGTACACAAGCTCCGGAGGTGAGCGCAGGCTCTATTGTCTGCTCGACGAAAGATTTCAAAGCATCAAATTTGCACCCCTCGTATCGGACGGTCTTAGGACCTCGACAACCTAGTGTGTGAAACATAAATGATTAATACTAGAGCACTCAAGAGGAATTTGTAGAAACGTCATTTCCAAGTGAGGAATATATCATCGACTAGCACAGATAAGCCTACTAAGGTGAAAGTAAACGATGATAAGTCTACAAAGCTATCAAAATCTTACAAGTAACCAGGAAGTAGAACCCTTGGCAGCGTCATTGCCACTTCGACTTAGTATAGATAGCCAGATATATGGACAAGGAACTGGCCCAATAGACACATTGTATATATTGGAACACAATATCCTATTGAGTACATTAGGTGTTCATGTTTGCCGATGGAATTGCTAATCAACGAGGGATGATAGCAGTTCAGTCTGTGCTTCCTCGGTCAACAGTACTTAGACGGCAGTAAATTCGCCTCCTTTTTCTAACGGTGCTTTCGGAAGGGGATCGGGAATCATGTTGGCTGTGGAGTCGAATGGGCAAAAAAGACGATTAAAACTGGTATTCATTTAATATTACAACGAAAAAGCTCCCGTACTAAAGGTCTTGTTCAACTGGGGACCATGATATAAATTTGGATGGGAGGAAGAGTTTCTTCGAGTAAAAGACAAAAGTTACGCGTAAAACTATTCGGTCAGAGTATTATGTGACTAATGGGCGTTCAGAGCATGGTAGATCTTCCGATACTTAGTGGTTGGCTAAGGCTAGTCATATGCTTGAGCCCTCCATGAACTTGTGAAAATGTTTCACTTAGCAGTTTCTTATGAAACAGCGCAAGCATGTGTGCATTCTATGGCACATTTTAACAAGTGCTTTTGATGATAAGATCTAGGGTGAATCTGAAAAAATGGATGAACCTACATAGCATTCTTAAGTAAATTCGAACACTTCGCTGGTGTACTTCGTTGTCAAAATTCATAATAGGTAGATCGCAGATAGCTTAAACGAAGTTACTGTGGCCACACTAGTTTCATCTAGACATGGTCGTCACACGTCTACGCGAATGACTTGACAAAACGACCTTCAAGGCACTCACAACAAGTTTCATGTCGAACTTGTACTCGCCGTTCACAGCGACATCCATGTGGAATATGGTGGACAATGGACACGCGGCGCTGACACGTCATGGTATCGCAGTTTGCTTTGAACACTGAAGGGCCAGGACATTCTGCAATAGGGTAAATTTGAACAAATGGGATAGTCTCATGCGTACAGAAGTTAACTCTGAAGTGATGAAGTGGATAGGGTGAAGTGCTATGCACCACATCGATTGGGCAAAACGTGGCCATGGTCTATGGACGGTTGTGGTTTTGTTCCGTTCCAATGCTGGACGCCACGATGGAAGTCATCCTAATACGGAGTCTTCAGGTGGAGATTGTTGAAGTTGGGCCCCGAATCAGAAACAAACTGGTCTACCGAATCAAAGCCCGAAAGTGCGTTATGACCCATCAACGTCTTAGCACCGCGTTCGGTTACCACTTGGAGATAATTGATGCACCTGTGCGTTGCCTCAGTAATAGTAGTCTGACGTGCAAAAACGTTTCTCTCCATCTACACACAAATCAGTGTCGTATTTATATGTGTCTCTGCAGGTTGAATGTCTTCCCATTCGCCTTAGAGTTTCAGCTTGACCGACACTAACGGACTTCCGATGGAATGCTCAGTTGAACATTTAGTTGAAATATACCAATTTTGGAAATTATCGAGGTTTATTTGCGCAACCCACCTGCATATCAGCATGCTATACTGACTCAATGCAAATATTGGGGGGGGGGCTTCAACAACGGAAGCAGCATATGTATACACACGATAACCGACCAATTAAATAAGGAGGGGCTCTCTAGGTATCAATAATTAAGGCGACTCAATGATTACACCAAGGTCAGGCAAATGATCATACAGACTTGTGTCATCATAAACTGAATTCAAATGTGCGATTCCCTTTTTAGTACCCCTCATACCCTTGGAAATAAACACAAGCGAGAATATTCGATAGAGGTTGTAGTGTGTTACTTCGGGAAATCTGTGTTGATCGGAAGAAGAGCGACAGTTGATCGCGTAGGAAACGAAAGTTCAACTGAATCAGTGAAATCATCAATCGGCTGTACTCTCTTTTCGAATGACCGTCGTGCTCACAGATGGTAGCAACACATCAGTATTTGGGGCTCGATTGCCATACAACCATACTGACCCTACCAATGAGGACAAATCTAAACGCCACAAACAAGTATTAAATGGTAAGACATTCATGCCTGCACGGTAATGCTCCGTCACAAGCATTGACTACTAAATGAAGCTAAGACAGAATCTGTGGAACTGATTCCTTAAAGCATTCGTGTCATAAGCAATCTTATCACAGTAAATAAATCAGCACTGTACACAATTCGAAGACACTTCGGCTAGGAGACGATAGTACATGTGTCATTGGGGCCGACAGCGAGCATACAAGCTCCGGGTCACATGAGTTCCAGTCTGGGAGGTGTGATGTACCGACAGTACCTAATTTGGTGGCCAACCATTCAACATCGAATAAACAAAATGATCATATTCCTAGTATGCGTCTAGTTGGAATACTGCTAGGTGACTGCAACATCTAAAAGCCGAAACACTGTTCCAAGACGCGAAGCGAGCCTGCGGCAGGCCACCAGGGCAGCTGAGGAAATCAGCTCACCGTCGAGGACACGGGTTGCTAGGTAACATGAGCGGGGCTGCGATTGGCGGTTTGTAGGCTACCGAATCCCGTAGACCGCGAGTAAGTGCGAAAGTAAGTAGACAGTAGATCGTCAGTCAGCAAGGCAAAGTGCAGTCGGATTGGAAGGCAGAGGCGAGGATGTGTGAACTATGAATATGACCATTATCTGTCCTCACAATATGCTCTTCTGTGTCCCCGAATGGGGTGGACAGAGTATCAGGCCGTGAGCGTAACCAGGGCATCGTTACTATAAACGTGCAGTGTGTCTGAACTAACGCCACGTACTTAGCCTTGTTTGGTATCTTAAGGACTAAGCTGCCATATCGAGACCAAAAGTTAACGTGATACGACGAAATGAGAACCCTTCCGATACAGTAACCAATTCTGGATGGTGCTCATTGGTGACTGCAAATCTGCTCCTACAACAATGTGCAGTGGTTAGAGGGCAGACAAGCTCAGTCTCGTGGACTTGCAGGTTGGAGATTGGGATTAAGAAGGCACTTTTTTATTTGAAAAGGGTCCATACTGTGGACCAACGTCGTAGTACTCTTGAAATGCCGTCAGATGTTTGAACCAGAAGCTTCAGTTGTGGATCGTATGTGTTCTTTGGCGTACTTTGGGATTAGGAGGAAATATCTGAGTTTACACGCATGTTTTACTACAACCTGCATGTTCGCGGTGCTGACAATCTGGATGGCTACGTTAGGGTGTCACGAGGGAAAGAAGAGGTTGTTTCTATAACTCCACAAGTTGGGATGCGTGGCTTGTGGTACTGATTCTAGCCACTCTGTTAACGTGCATCAGGTTCAATCATCCTGGCCCTCGGAAGATAGTGGACCACAGATGTATCTTCGAGAATAAGCCAAACTATACCTTATACTCCAATTCTTGTAACCTTTTACGGCACACATATGGGGGTTACAGAAGGCCGATACGTGCAGCCGCATTTTGCGACTGACCAGTGGATCTGACTGAAGTCGGAGCAACAACAACGCATGCATGCCTAGTTGAAGGTCAAAACACAGTTTTGAATATAGGCTTGTACACGTGACATTTTGGACCGCGACTCCGGGTCTGAAAAGCATACCATTCGCTTACGCGTTCAGGTTAGGAGGTGAATGAGAGCACACAGTTCTTCAAGAAGTATCTGTCGATTGGAAACTCGAAAAGCGAGGGAAGTTCCAGGGGAAAGGCCGACGAGGAAATGTTTCTTATAAAGTCTATGGTGTGCAAACACATGCAACTGGTAATAAGCAATTACACTAATTTTCCCTCTTAGAACCGAGATCCCCATATATTTTGTGTTAATGGTCGATTTCCCCGGTTTCGCATGTAAAGGCTTACTTTCTGTCGCTTGTCAGAATTATTACCAAGTATTGGCTGTTAGAAACCATTATACATACACATTAGGTTATGCGCAACCGTACGTTCAGGTATGGTTAACGATGGCAGCCGTTCATCCATCACAAACTTGCGTCGCCGCAATTTGCATATAATGCAATGGGGCACGATTTTGCTCCCACATACCAACTTACATCACTTTAGTTAAACACATAAGGAATCATGTCCAAGGTAGTCATCACAGCAAATGGCAGAATTATTTTCTATAACGAGGCAGGGGCGATTATGCGCTCACATGAAGGTCTTTTTCCTCTTCGACCAAGGTTTTAATTTTAATTTTCCTGTGGAACATTTCCGAAATGTTACTAGCTGATAGGGTTCCCATTCAAAACACGCACAGCTGCTCCCAACGCGTCAATGCACAGCAACTAGATAAGCAAGATAAGCGTAGTTTTAACGGAGCAAATCACGGTTGACTAGGTAAGACATACGGTAGACCTTCAGTTTACTGTGGGGGCCATGCAAGGCAAACATGCACACTGCCTGGAGTGAGAGACCGTGAATGGGAGCACTCGCTAACCCATTCTGAATGTAGGCGGTTTCACTGAACAGGAGAACACATCGCCATGCCTTACGACCTTGTACACTACATTAAAAACATCAGCAATGAGGTGCGGCTAGTGGACATCCATACACCGCAAAATAACAGCAAAGAAATTATTCGGGCCTGCGAATCACTGGATAGTGTGTGCTGGAGTGTGGAGGGATAATGGGCAACTCCGCTTCGCGCAGCTGTTAGGTGCTCAGCAGACAACCAAATTCGACCTAAACAACCAGTGTTCACTGGACAGAAACATTTTGGGCATAAACATGTCGGACTGATATGTACATGAAGGGGAAAAGTCATGGTTTTGGGAGAACGGTCCAATTTTAAACTCACTGAGTTCTTGTCTCCTCAAAATCTTCAGCGGGTGACATTCGCCCCTGATCAGCTGCTGGGAGAGAATTTCAGTGATTAGCAGTTTGTCATCGATGCACCGTTTTCTTCGGTGTGATGGACCGCACCGACAACGAACGACACGTCTTGATTTGGTCACCTATGAAAGCATGTGGGAAAAGGAATAGAGAAGGCCTGTTCAGTTGCTTCTGCAGACGGCGTGGTGGTCGCAAATTCTGGTGAAACAAGCAAAGCACGAGAAGAGGGTGCTCCAGGCTGCAGTTGCTAATGATACCGCATAGCAGCCTTATACACCCACGTACCTCAAGTATCACGCAACATTATGGCAAACGCCCTGTACTTCACTACTGCCTACGGAACTACGCAAAATGGTTTTTAGGGGCTGATGGATGTAACCAACACTTCATTTCGCATGGTTGCCATAAGATCACGTCAGTTCCTGTCCAACGTTCACAGCTTGACTCGCACATCCGGATAACAGCCACACTCACCGTCGTAACACATCAGTCTACATGGCTGGCTTTTGTGTTGATTGCTCTCACCATGTGAAAATATATTCTTCAATCTCAAAACCGCTTTCACCAATACTGGCATCGCATGAAGGTCCCGACTGACGAAAGTACGTATCTACTTCTACGATCGAGCACTTCACTGCTTCCTATACTGGGATCAATGTGAGTGGACCTGCAACCGCTCTTGTTCACACTGCATCTTTAGGGAGTAACGTGTGTTGAAAGAGTTTTGGGCTAACTTCAAAGGGCGTCGGTCACAAAAGTCCACTCCAGCTTGCCGTTATTAAATATATGGTGTAGTGTTAGACGGATGGCTCGACCTATCGTGACGCGACGTGAGCATTTAATCCGCCCGGTGAGCAGCTGTTGTGTAGCCACTGGCGCCTTCAATTACGGCCGCAAGAAGAGTGGAAAACGAGCCGGAAAGAGACTTGTATATATGAAATCACATTCGCTTATATAGTTTTGAAGGTAAAAGGAAGGGAAGCTACTAAATTACACTTGAGCCAACCAACAGAAGGAAAACGTCAAATGCAACAGGCGAATAAGCAACCATGTAAACAAGAGCGAATCGCATATGTCCTTAAAAATCGCAGCGTGGGACCTCAAGCGTAAAGCGTATGTCCATTTACAGTGACGGGCAATGGCCAATCGGAATAACGGAATGTAGTGTTTAAACAAACGTCACGAAACAAATGTTAATAAGGAGTGCAGACCCAAAAAGTAAAACTAGTATACTAATTGTGTGACAATTACATATTCCTTTAACATAATCAAGTAGAAAAGTGATGCGGAGAGAAAGCAATGGAATGTGTGCTTACAAATGGCACTGCTGAAGGTGACACGGAGGTGCGTGTCCATTAACATGGACGTGTGTGTACCAATCGGACTAACACAGTGAAGCGTTTAAACAACAGTCACGAAGTAGAAAATAGAAAGAATAAAGGATGGCTATTAAGCTCGTTCAAAAAAATGACTGTCAAATAGCTATTCTCCTAACAGCAGCTACAATCAATAAAACTCCCCTTTCTTGGCTGAAATTAAGACTGCGCTACCTTTGTCCTCGTTTGCGCACAAACCCCTCTCCGGAAATATTTCGTTTTTATTCGTGGCCGTTGTCACAACAATCCTACACAGTTCCGCTGCCGTGAGCTGTGCTCGTTGGCGCATGGATATCGCCGAATAAGCGAGTGGAATTGCTCACAATGCTATTATTGATCGGTTCTGGATTTTACTTCTTTTTTGGTGGTCCAGCGTTACACATTTACCAAAGCTTCTTGATACTCAAGCAGTATGGCAAAATTGAGGACAGTGTGATCAGGAGACGCTACAGATAAAGCGCCATGGGGTGGCTACCAGTCCAGGAGGCACATTTGGATATCGCTGGGGTGTTTGTGATCCAGCCGTAAATGAAACAGTCAGGTGTGCCAGCATCAGTGAGGTCAGAGAGAAGACTACACATGATAGCTTGAGACCCAGCTGCGGTGTATGCACGAAGCAATTTCCGTACAACCTATTAGGCTAAAATCGCACATGCAAGTTTCACCGTCTTACCTTACATTTACAGGCGTCAAATGATCGTCGGATTGTCCACTCCAAGGCGAAACCATTAGCTGAGCACAAACCAACACGCACCTCGCTAGGAGGTGAGCAACCTGGTGGGGGTGAATAGAGGCATGTCGTTAGTATGCGACAACATTGAGTGAAAATTACGAGTTCCACAACTAGGGGTCCGTTAACAAAAAGCATCAACAGATGCATAATTCCATCCGATGTTGTGGGACATACTTCCCTGCCTCTGCCTATGGACCAGAGATAAAGTTTAGTGAGATAGTGTGGATATCAGTAAGATGCTTTCATGCTGTCTCCTGAATAAACGTGTTATCATTGAACCGGGATCGAAATGGATGTGTGCATCGCAAGTGAAGTGGATGATGGGGAACCAGATGGTAATGTGATGCCCGTCTCATGCGTTAACTCACACGGAAAAGTAGTTTGTCACTAGTGGTTATGTTACGTAGCGAGCATCGGCAGAACTTCTGCTCCATGAAGTGGAGGTTAAAAACAAGCATGTAGACTGGCGAAGATACACACCGTGCATCAGTTTTGATAGCGGGTCGCAAAAGTTCGGTGACATAAGAATCCTAGTCTCCGGCTGACTTACGCTTTATCAGGGCTGCAGTGGCATCGCGCTTTGTGACGAACTTGGTGCACGCACCGGAAGAGGTCAGTTGCCAGTGGGCAGCGGTGTACGTGACGTGGTTCCCTCTGCAGGAACTCTGCAGATGATATGGTTTATGAGGACAACCTGGAAAAAAGAGCGAAAGTGAGAACATTGCGAGGACATGAAGTGCGGTAAGTGAGTAGAACAATAGCTCATCAACAGACCTACGGTGTACTTAAAATGCCACTCCGTTGGTATTGGCTACAAATATTTTGTAGCTCCGAAGCCACTTTACTGGGTTCCCTAAACTAGCAGGGTCACCACTTTGCAGCACGTTTAGAGCATGTATATGCGTGGGTTGAATACATTCTGAGATTTAGAGAAGCACAATATTTGAGTGTGTGTGTGTGTGTGTGTTTGAAGAGTGAAGCATTAGGTATCATACGTGTCATCCTGTTGACCCCTCAAGCAGAGTTCTGTGGAAATCAAAACCTATAATATGCCTAATCGATGGCCGTCGCTCACTGGCCACCACACGATGCCGATGGTTAGTCGGTGAGGTCTATCCGTGTAGGAGAAGATTTCTTGATCAGCACTATCCATCTGGGAGCAGCGTGTTGTTTACTGTGTGTGCAAAGTAAACACTCCCTCTTCAGATTGCAGTAGCCACACAATTGTTTAACGCGTACGCTTGGCCGCAAGTTACTCATGTGCAGCGGTAGAAAACCGAGGGGATAACTTGGTTATACAAAAGCACCAGCCGCATAAAATAGCAGACTACTCTGTGCGATTTCACACTGAACTTACAACATCGCCGCAACTTGATCTGCGTCATTCCGACACACTTTCCTTGTGAAACATTAAATCTGTAACTGTGCACGTATACCCGTCCAATACACCCGGTTTTGTGCGAACATAAAGTCTGTTTCAGATGATTCGCAGGACAGGCTGTAACACAAACGGGAGGATACGGAAATGTGTAGTTCTCAGTCCCCGGGGGATGAAAATTCGACAAACTGAGAAAAGTGCATAAAAATGACAATTGAAGGCGCAGGCTGCATTTTGGACTCCACGTCTCTGTAGTTCCGTATTAGCTGTGAGTAAGTAACAAATCGCCTGGTTTGGATTCCACACAGGAGAGAGGGCGAGTGAATCACCTCTCCCGTCTCGAAGTTGCTACCGCTTAGTTTTAGTTTGAGCGCAGACATGCAGCTGACTGTCTTTACGGCCATAGGGACTACAAACATATCCCAGATACAATGAACACTGAGAGTTGCGGCTGATACTGTCTTAAAGCAAAATAACTACTCTAGCGCTGTGAGGCCCACTGTGTGGAAGTCTGTATCCCAACTGATGCTTTTACTGTTACTCAATCTGTCTGATCTACAATACAATCAAAATAACAACGGAACGTACAATTGGAGACGCCTAATCTTTAGCTGAGTTGGGTACGACGAGAAAGTGGTATGTGACATATTGGAGAGGAGGTAGGATTAGAGGTGGTCTCACTAAGTGCGTATGAAGAAAAGGGTCGGTGAATGAATTTGACTACCCTACGGTCTAGTTTTAAAGCGGCATGACTCATCTTGAAGTTACAAGGAGCAAGCTTGGTTGCTGTTGAATTTAACACAGTTGCGGCTGTACAGCCTTGGAGCTGTCACTTAGTTGCCTTAAGTGATGCATCAACTCGTAACTCAAATAACCCGAGCCACTTACCTCGTTTGCAGAGTGTCTCCACTAACCGGCCAACTTTGTTCGCAGATGAATCAGAGAGTGGAATAGATAGTAGGTGGATCGCCTTCGGTTGAGTCACGAACTGGCTCATAAACTGCACTCTGTCTGGTCTGCCTCCCATCGCAATTAGGTTCAACTGCACATCACCGTAGCGCGTCTGAAGCTTTGTTTTCCAATCGTTTGGATTTTTGAGGGATAAAGCTTCTCCATCGGTTATCAGATACAGCAGTATCGGTACAGTTGGTCTTCTCAGAGGCAATATCTGTTGAATAAACAGAAAGATACGGTAGAGCTTTCACATCCTTGGGATTTTTCTGGTCAGTCCTCTCAAGTAAAGCAGTTTGATTAATCAGAAAGTAGAGTACATTGAGGCAACATACTCGTGTGCACTACCGAAACTTCAGCGCTTCGGTTTTCAGCAAGCCCAACCTTTCCAGTCAACTGAAAGGATTCGAACACTTGAGCTTTGTGACATTCTGTCAAAACATCCACTAAGTTAAGAAAACGCTCAGTTTGCTGCCATCCGCCTCAATGCAAACTGTCAAAATGTGCGCGTCTGGTGAGCCTATGGCTTATTCCTTTTTGTCTAGACAAATAGAACTATAGTACCTCACCAAAACAGCCAATTTATTGCGCTGATGAAGTGAATCCACCAAGATTACCCTGTACTCAATCAGAGAGAGAACTCACAGCACCGCTAAAACCAGAGGTGATCCAATTCCGAATGATCGTCTTCACAAACATGAGGTACAATAAAAAGTACACCGTTTTCATCCATATCCGTTAATGAGAGTCGAGTTAACAGGGCATATGATGTATCGTTCCAAATTAGAAACAGAGTGAATGGCTGCCTCCGCGAAGCGTTCCACCGGCACAGCTCGATTCGCCACACACAGCGCGCGCTTGACCTATCGGCCGCCATTTTCCCAGTTTCTTTACTAACCATGCTGACGCTTCGCCGTCACGTGACAGGCACCAGCTGCACGCAAGTCGCGAATTCGCCCGGATTCGATTCGGCTATTGCAAGGCAAGCGCGCGTAATCCTTTCGGCCGCCGGCCGAGTGTGAAGGTGCACGTTCACTTTTAACTAAGGCAGACGGGCATCTATCAGGTGTACGACGGCAGGGGTTGTTGTTGTTGTTGTTGGCACCAGAATTAGCAACCGCAATCATTATTAACTCGGTCCAGTAAATCCTACCACAGCAGTGGCGTAGCAACCATATTTGCCGCTCGGTGCGGTGGTAAAATCCCCCCCCCCTTAGCAGCTGTAATTCAGTAAACCCTCAAAATAGGCTCAGGGTAAAGCGAGCAGTAGTTTTTGATGAAATGGCTGGTCGTTAGGGACACTGAGTTAAATGTGAAAATGGCCACGGGGGAACAAGTAAGGTGATCGGTAGGAAGTACGTTTGCACAGATGTGACACGGCGTACAAGTTGTGTCGACCATACAGAATAACATAAGAATACTCAACCCTCGGTGTATCTGGGACTTTTGTTAATAAGTTTCGGTACCGAACCTTCGACAGTAATAAGAATGCCGGCCCCCGGTCCCATGACGTCCGGGGTGGACCGCCTCCGCTGCCCCCCCCCCATGCTACGCCTCTGTGCCACAGATATCGCGTGCATTAAAATATGGAAGTGAGTTAAATGTACAATCCCTTAATCCAGTGATCAGCATGCAAAAATAGTATTTAGACAACGATCGCCTACAAGTTCAGCTGCAAGTGTCGATGGTTAGTTAAGAAAAAACAGACATTTGTGGTACCACAACCAAAAGGCAAACTATTTTCAGCTCATGTTGCTTAGCCTTTTCTGGTGACGCCCACCACCACGGCCACTTTGGGAATGTGTGGCGAATCACACTGTTCACTGTGATATTGTGAATAATAGCACTGATGTGTTCAATCAGCACATGACGAAACGGCCTAACACATAGCTTGAGACCGGATTGGGCAATAGGGTAGTCTAGGGGAATAGTATCACAGAGGTTAGAGTTTGAACAATCACGTATCTTACCTCGTTCAGCGTAAAACGTAGTACTCTGTCCAAATCGGCTCCGCCGCTGTCGAATGAAGCTACAGCCCTCATACGCTCTAGCATCTGCATCGGGTGGTCCAGCTCGTGCAAATTGAAAGCCATGACAGGAGCGGAGGCAAATTTGACCACAGCGAATCGGTACATGGACGAATGCATTTGGTTGTGATTAGGTGAGAGAAACAACTCCACCGCCTTGTACAACAGCTGATGCACTCGTTCCCGGTAATACAGTTGTCGGCGACCGACAGATTCGTCCACAAGGAATACCACTTCGGCTGCACCGATAGCGTCGCACACTGATAGAAAGTGAGGTGTATCAGAACAGGGTAAGGCAGGTGCTTCACGCTTCCCGTGGAGTTAAATAATATTATGGGTAGAAATGATTAAGGCTAACCGAAGAATTGCAAGACCCACTATGTCCTTGGGTTGCTTAAGTAATGGATATACCCTGAATACAATCTAGCATTCGAATGCTTAACAGAAGATTGCTACTGAAAATGCGCGTTCATCTTTATTTGGGAGGACGTAGGTTGATTGAAACAGCCATCCGGTTAGTAATTATAGTCATACTGAATCGTTGTTTTAATTGAAGCCTTCATTGCTATTTCTGTGGATTAGTGATTCCGTTCACCTTTTTGCTGATGCTCAGCCGAGTATGATATTCGCTCGGAATTTTGGCCATGGAACAGCAGTTGCAGCACTTATTCGGTCACTTACCTGGGCAACTCGCATTGAGCCAGCAGTCTGTGCCAAGTTAAAATCCCTTCCATTTCGTAGGGCTGACATCTGGCTGCCGACTCATGTACATAAGCACATTCGGTGCCACTATTTAAACCTAATAGCTACATTATCTACACGCTCTGAGGGCACTACTTCTCAGGAGGTAGATTAATAGATTCGTTTTACTGTGGTGTGGCTGGTGCTATTAATATCCAATCGTAACCTAATAAAGCCTCGCTGGAGAATTTTTCGCTCACTCACGAAATCACACTTGACTAGTCGTAATTGTGGCTGTCTTGGGCTGGAGGTGAGGGACTACTGTGAACGCGGATTGCACTGCTCCTTCTGCGGATACCGAGCGGCACCTGAATCACCATAACGTTTAAACTCGCGCGGAGGAGGAACGACGGTGATCCCCTTATTCGTTTGTAATATGTAGGTTTCGCATCAAAGTCCCAGTGGTTTAGCGATTGTCATAGCAACATAGAACACAACTGCTCTCAGTAGGCTTGAACAAAGCACATATCCCGATTACTAATCCATCGGTTACCATAGTCTCAGTTTTGCTTAGTCCCGTTTATGTAGGACTAAGTAAGATTTAATCATGACAGCAACGATACCATTGTTTCTTCTTGAATTCCAATCAAGTGCTCACAAAAGCAATGGCAGGCTACACGTTTGCAGGAAACTAAATTTGTTTGTCTCTGCAGTTTTGTTAGGCGTGGGGACGTAAACTACATATAGTGGGCAATGTGAAAGTTAAGGGACATTTGTGTGCGTGGATCTCAATGGCAACCCGAACGTTGCAGGCGAGTTGGAGAATCCTTCGACGTGTTCCCCTGATTAAACTATTACTGGTACCAGCTGCGTCAGTTCATAGACTGGTAGATGCAAACGATGATGCATGACGCTTATTCACAGCGTTTCCAGATAAGTCGGTCATCTACCTGTCAGTGACGAATGTGATTTGAACTGAAGCTGGCCCCCGTACCGGTGTTTCTGCAACCTACGAGAATTAAGATCAGTCAAACAGACGACTCTGTGGATTCGTAGGCCGTAAATCCAACCTCTCGTGTAAGGAAAAAAACTTGACACTGATGTCCATGTATCAGCAGTAAGCCAGTACGCCGAACCGACGTTTCGCTGCCGCACAACTACAACCAATCGCACGACGGCTAAGGATACTTCAAGGGTCGCCCGGTCCCTAAGCAGGCTTGAACGCACGTCAACGGATTACAAAGCAGGTTTGCGATCCTCAAGGCTACGTGTCAGCACTAGTGTCCATAACACATTAAGTCGGAGTGCACAAAGTCTTTGCTGAACTTCGTTTACCATAGCACACTCATGCATGAGTAGGATATGTATTCTGGGGCGTGTCATCAAAACATTCTGAAACTTAGCTTTTATTGTTAAGTTGTAGGTAACAACTTTTCTCACTGCTTATATATTCCTTGATCCATCTAAAAAAACTCATTTAGTTTTTTGCCTGATGGAAACATGGTGATTATCATGTTCTAGTCCAGGAAAATGCCAAATTTAATGCAGAATGTTCTTGTATCAGTGCAAGACCTGACAGTGGTTGAAAGGCTATTCCATACGACATCCTATCTAATGAGGAAGAAGTTGTAGCGAATAGCTGTCCTGGTTCTTGGCACAGTTATTTTTCACGTCCCGTTGCGAAGTTTCCGTGTTATGTTTCAATTTAATGTTCATCGATTGGAGTATGTCATTTGGTTTATGGGATTGTGTACGAGCATCAGGTTATGTTTCAGTCCTCGCAACCAAAGACGCTAGAGCTTAAGCTGCTAGCAAGCTCCTGATATTTCAAGGTTTGACGATTTACTAAACAAGCGTTTGGTAAATTATGTTTACAGGCTTTCCACAGCTTTTCTGTTACCCATATGGATCTTCCCATAAATGATCCTGCCATATACAGGACAGGAAGTGTGAGTATTTTGAAAAACTCGATTCGGGCAGGGAGTGTGTGGATTTTCTGGCATAAGTTAGCCATGGATCGTTTGGCGCTTGTTATTCGATACTCAGCTTCGCTGGGAAATTGAAGTTGGAAGAGTATCGAATGCCTAGATTAGAGTTAAACTTTTGCAAGGAGATGCGTTCATTATTCAGTTTATCAGTCTTTAGGGATCAAACGTCCGTGTGAAATGATGTATGATGTACTAGCTGAGGAATTTAACATCCATGTGTCGCACCAGTTCTCAAGTGCATCGACGTCTTCTTGAACGAGCAACATTGCGCTATGGATTTCGTCTCGTCGAAATTTATAAACAATCTTTATGTCATCGACGAACAGAAATGGCCTACCATGTTTTATGGACATTGTGATTTCGTTAATATAGAGTAGGAAAAGGAAAGGACCAAGTACACGCTCCTGGATGACACCACTAGTGATTGGACATGAGGAGAGGTATGGTTACTCAGAGTGACTATCTGGTAACGTACGTTTAGTTATGACGTCAACCAACCCAGTAGTCAGTCTCTGACCCTGAATGACTCTAGTTTTCTTCAGTAGCCGCTTGTGAGGCACCCGGTCAAATACTTTTCGAAAATCCGGTAGCAATATTACAAGTGCATAATTTGAGTCAACTAATTCTTTGATGTAATCCACGTAGTGTAACTGACACGTTGTACAGGAACATTCATCGAGGGACCAATGCCGGGATTTATTAAGCAGGTCAAGACGATGGATAAAGTTCATGATTTCTCCTTTCATTAAATTTTTGAGTAAGCTAGCAATGATGGAAGTGTACTGGATAGGTCGATAATTAGTGACGATCTGTTTGGATCCTCTTTAGGACGATGGGGAATAAACGATGTTTACTATTGATGCGGAAGCTAACTATATTCTAATGACAATATGAGCATGTTCAAAGAAAACAATGGTAAGTAAAGTCCACCAAGTTTAACGACTGATGTGGGGATGCCATCAGGATCTAGTTTGAGTAATGGTTTAATGGACCTCATAGCTTGGATCTCAACGCTTGCGTGAGACCACATGTAGAATGCGCCATGCAGGCGTGCCACAACTGGCAAAAACATGACCTCATTGCTCTTACGCATCTACCACGGAGATAGACTATAAATGTTAAGGGATACATCTACCATCCTTACCAGCTAAGATTAGAGACGTCAGGAGTTTTCAATGAACAATATCGTCTTTTGCGAGGTGTTCTACTATCGGTCTATCAGATCCTCAACTATTCTAACCACACATGCGACCCCTATTGAAACGCATTGACAACACCACACTGAGAGGTCATCAATTGTATATGGCGACACAGTATAGGTGGGTGGAATGTCGTCGGAAGATTTTCTCATTTCACCTATCCCAGTCATGGAACTTACTTCAACATTTTATGATATCTGTTCCTACGCCGTGCGAATTGAAAACTCGACTGGTTGGATGCATGACACGACCTGTATTACATGATATAAACCCGAGTTACTGGTACACTCGAAAACGTAAACAAACAATGTGTACACGTTATTTTCTTGTTGCATTCATTTTGGGTTTCACTCTTCAGTTACGGAAACTGTTAAGCGTCTATCATTTGCCGATGACCTAAAGGTACGGCGTGCTATCGCCCCAATGGAGGATCATACAATCCTCCTGCGTTATTCACTTTAAATCTTTGGATTTATTCTCACATAGACCTACGTGCTAACATTCGATTTGGCTCCGCGAGCTCCTAATACTGCTGTTCATCTATTGGATCTATCATTCGCGAATCAGCAACAACCTGTGCTCTTGCAATTTCGAAGTCAACCGTATTTGAATCTTAGCAGAGGATTTATTTTTTCCTCGCGTTGCACAAGAACGCTTGTGGTCTTATTTTAAAGGTCTTTTTGAGAGTCACCCCATCACCATCATAATCATCACCATACACGTTAGCCAGAGGTGGGGTACACCTCAGCTACTGTGCCGCAATACATAGAAAAAACGAGAAAAAAGCAACTGGTGCAAGCCGGCTGAGGTACCGGTAACGGATGGGCATCGTTCCGGTAAGCTACCAGCCGGCTACTGTGCATCCAAAAAAATTACTATACAAAATTATATAAGGCTAAATAATGAGATCGTGGTTGGAGGGGGAGGCTAAGAGGATGGGATGGGACAAGTCGCTGTACAAAGCCATAGTTGTCAATTTGGTCTGGCATTGGAACAGTCACTGTCGTCATTAGACAGTATTTTCCAAGTCATCTTGCTTTGCCTCAATCCTACGCTGCATCGCTGCCTATCTATTTACCGGCTGGATCGATTGCACGCATATCGTCTATCTGCCTTAAGGAACGTATGACTCACCTGGACGCTACACGTCTGACCTCCTGACCTCAAATCAGAGTCGATAGCCACGCAACGAAAAGCGAAGCGAAGTGAAACATGGTGCGTCAGTATCTCTGTCCTCTTGCTATCCCTTAAAACAGCACGCCTACTGTGAACATGTTTTGTATGAAGAGCAAATGCGAATCATGTACTAATGTGGTTTTAAAAATGGTCTGGTGTGTACCATGTGTTTGAAATTCTAACACAATACCTGCCTTGGGACGGGGGTCGACACAA